GTATTTTTACAGTCTTTATTTTACAGTTGAAATATATGTTTATCATAAAAAGTCTAATGTTACAATTAGTCGGGGATCCCTTTAAGATGTATCAGGACTGAATTAAACTTTATTTCTCCAAACTGAGGCAGTTCAACAAGCTATCTACAGCGTGTAAGATATTAATTAATTGTAACATTTAACCTACTTGTCCAGATTATTCCATTAACATTTAAAATTTTGTAAAGAAGCCAAGGTGTCTTCCTCCTGTTTTTAATTTTATTCCAACTTTTTTGTTGGTTTTTGTAACACTTTTTAATTTAAATGTGAAGTTTTTGCCTCAGTGGTTCTTATAATAGCAGCAGTCCACATCCTCATTCTCATCATGGTGAGTAATGTCATAAAAGGGGCGTCCTTCCTAAGCCCCTGCTTACAAATGTATTTCATTTTTATCTCTGTGATAAATTATTATTGGGCATTCACCTGTAGTTATTACTTACTGACATTCATGCCTGTAAGACAGGGACATGTCGACTTTACAGGATAAATAGAGCTGCAACAAAAGCTTCCTGAAGGCTAAATTGGCCAGTCTGTCACTTACAGCTGTTTGCACACAGGGTAATGACTTTWTTATTCAGGATCCTTTTGTCATCGCTACATATTTGTTCTCTGACAGCACAAGAATGACAGATTAGTTTTCTCTAGAAAAAAAAAAACTATTCTGTGGCTTGATTTCTTTTTCTGCCCAGACAGCTTGATTGGTCACTTTTAATAGATCCTGTCACAGCTGACATATCTGAGCTTACTGCCTATGTGTTGTGGAAATATAAACTTAGTTTCCATGTTGCATCAATTTTTAATAATTATTTAAAAGCTGGGAATAGTTTTATATAGTTCAGACTAATTTGATTTATTTGAACGTGTGCCTTTTCTGCAGGATATAAAATGGTCCGAGTTTGGCTTTGAGGGGCGTGATGGTAAAGAGAGCACTCTATGGATCGGCACAGAGGGGGCAAACACACCATGTCACYTGGACACATATGGCTTTAACCTGGTGCTGCAGGTTCAAGGACGGTAAGGAGAGCAGCATCAGTTTGTGGCTTTACCAGTAACCATGTTTTTATGAAACTTTATTTAAAAACTGAATTTCCAATGTCTAATTTCCCTCTGGGATCAATAAAGTATTTTAGAATTGAATTTAGTTAATCTAGAGAGAAACTATGGATGCAGCGTATGTGTAAATACATATATACTGTTTGCATATGTATGTGTG